GTGCCAGTGCCTTGCCCAGGGCCCCCCAGCATGAGCTACACAGCAAACCGTAGTTGGCTGCTACTTGCGCTGGGCTTGTAGGTGTCCAGGAGAGGCCAAGCTATGAGCCAATGCAGGCTGCTGCTAGTGCCAGGCCTGGGGCCACTTATCAAGCCATATGGGGCCCGCTGCTGCTTGTATGAGAGATTTTAGGAAAGTCCTAAGCATGAGGCTCGAGAGGCTCCTTGCACAGAAAAGCCCCTGGAAATGGCCTGGATGAGCCTGCAGTTGGGGAGGGGCGGGTCCTCCGGGAACCACTGGGGCAGGGCCAAAGGTGGGAGTCAGGTGCTGGCGATTCAAATATGGCGCCTGCCTGCGGGCTGTGCAGGGAGGACTCGCCAAAGGAGCAATGGCCTCCGCCAGCCCTTCTGCCTGGGAGGAAGCCGCCTCTCTGCCTCTCACCCAGATTTCAGGCAGGCTAGTTCCTCCTCCAGTGTCCCAGGTCCTTTCAAGCTGCTGCCCGGCGCTGGGCTCAGAGGGAGCGTCCGAGTGAGTCCGTGCTGGGCCCTTTAAGAAGAACGCCTGGGGCTCCCGCAGCCTCCGCGACCCTCAGGGACAGTCCCCGCTGGTTTCACAGCCCCGAGCTGTGGGGATGTCTCTTCCCTGCCCTNTTTAGGAGGAGCTGCTGGGGCTCCCGCAGCCTCCGCGACCCTCAGGGACAGTCCCCGCTGGTTTCACAGCCCCGAGCTGTGGGGATGTCTCTTCCCTGCCCTGGAGCCCTGGGCTGGGGGCCTGATGTGGGGCTGGGACCCCTCACTCCTTTGGAAAACCTCTGCCACGGAGATGTCACCCCTGGGTTTAAACCACGGCACCGGGTGTGGGCCCGAGGCCNTGTGGGGCTGGGACCCCTCACTCCTTTGGAAAACCTCTGCCACGGAGATGTCACCCCTGGGTTTAAACCACGGCACCGGCTGTGGGCCCGAGGCCGAGTCTCCGGGATTCAGCCCCAATCCTCCTGTGTCTCCACCCCTCCTACTGGTCTCAGTGCTTCTTCAGCTCCCTGGTTGCAGGGCTTCTGTTCAGCCGGATTTCAGGAGGCTCTGAGTGATGGTGCTTCTGTGTTTTAGTTGTAATTTTGATGTGGTTGNGGAGGCTCTGAGTGATGGTGCTTCTGTGTTTTAGTTGTAATTTTGATGTGGTTAGCTATTACCTGTGCCGCCATCTTGTTTCCTCCAGCCGTAAACCTACTTTTGCCCCACCCTGTATATGGAAACATCTGCCCCCAATCAAGGATCACTCAAATAACATTGCTGCTGCTGCCTGTGGATTTATCCATGATGATGTTGACAGTACCTCCCCTTTTGTTTTAACAGCTTTATTGAAGTATAATTACATCCATAAAGGTTACTCACTGTAAATGTACAATTTGATGAATTCAGTACGTTTCTGGACCTGTGCAACCACCACCAGGGATCAATTCCATCTCCCCAAAAAGAAACCTTGTGCCCATTTATAGTTATACCTCACTCCCACCCCAGCCCTAGGCAACCACAGATCTGCTTTGTCTCTCTAGATTTACCTTTACTGGACATTTTACATAGATGGACTCATACAATATGTAATATTTGCACCTGGCTTCTTTCATTTATCATAATGTTTTTGAGGTTCATCTATATTGCCACATGTGTTAATAATCCATTCCTTTAAACTGCTGAACAATATTCCTTTATATGGAGAGATCACAATGTGTTTATCTATTAACTAGTTGACAAATATTTGTTACCAGTTTGAGGTGGGAAATAATGCTACTGTGAATATTTGTATACATGTCTTTAGGTAGACATGTTTTTATTTTCTTGGCTAGAGTCTCAGGAGTGGAATTTTTTGGTTGAGTGGTAAGTTTATGTTTAAGTTTTTAAAGAAATTGCCAAACTGTTTTCCAAAGTGGTTACCCGATTTTACATTCCCATCAGCAATGAACAAGGGTTTCACTTTCTCCACACCTATGCCAACACTAGGTATTGCCCATTGAAAAAATTTTAGCCATTCTAGTAGGTATGTGGTGGTATCTGATTGTAGTTTTAATTTGAGTTTTCCTAATAGCTAATGACGNCTTTCTCCACACCTATGCCAACACTAGGTATTGCCCATTGAAAAAATTTTAGCCATTCTAGTAGGTATGTGGTGGTATCTGATTGTAGTTTTGAGTTTTCCTAATAGCTAATGACTTTGAGCATCTTTTCATGTATTTAGTAGCCATCCGTGCATCTTCTTTGGTGAAATGTCTATTAAAATATTTTGCTTATTTTAAAATCAAGTTGTTTGTCTTCTTATTGAGTGTAAGGTTTATTTAATTTCTTAACTTAAAAACTTTGGTAGGATTTTAATTTGGCAAATCCAATTTTGAAAGTAGGCTATAGGATGAGATGTTTTAGTGCTATTATACCTCCTTTAAGAGCCTTTAAAGCCTTTTCCTCCTACACAGTGCCTTGAGTCTGGGGAGGCAGGCAACCTTCACTGTTAGAAGAGAATATCACTGTGCAGAGAAGAAAAGTGAGGGCTTCAGGTTCCTGACTTATTGCATATAATGCCTTGAGTGTGACCCCATCGGATACTGGGAGGCCAGGGGCACATGTGGAAGCTTTTCTGTCTCCCCAGGGCCCAGTGTGGGGCCTGGTGTTGCCCCAAGGCTTGCCAGGAGGCAGAACCAATGTGGACCTTGGACCCAGGCCTTGGACCTATTTGGTGGAAGGGAGTGCTTGTTTGCTAGGTTGGAAGCCAGGTGCCCGGAGATGATGGTCAGAGGGTCCTGTTGGTTTTGGCTTGGCTTCCCATCCTTTGGGCATGCTGGATTTCACAGGTGGCCCTCCTGGCAGCAAGGTACCTTGTCTTTTCTCACTTCATAAAGATTTCCACCTAGGGCCTCCCTGTGGCAGTGCAGCTGTAGCCCTTCACCCTCGGCGACCCTACCCTGCAGGCAGGTCCACTCCCTGCACGTGGCTTCATGCTTTGTGTGCTTCCGGGCCTGCATCTGGACAATCATGGAGGTCCTCAACCTGCAAACATCCCCGGGAGACTGAAAGCCCTTCCTTCTCTCCCTGAGCAACAGACATTACAGTCTGACTGCTGGGCCAGATGGGGAGTCCCAGGCTCTTATCTGGAGGNCTTCCTTCTCTCCCTGAGCAACAGACATTACAGTCTGACTGCTGGGCCAGGTGGGGAGTCCCAGGCTCTTATCTGGAGGATGGCAGAAATAAACAGANCAGACATTACAGTCTGACTGCTGGGCCAGATGGGGAGTCCCAGGCTCTTATCTGGAGGATGTTTCTGTTGTCCTGCTCCATAGAGAGATACAGCCCTTGGAATATGGGAGGATTTTAATTGAATATTAAAATATTAAATAAGCCATTTTCCACTTGGGTTTTCACACAGCATTGTCCCTCTGCAGTGTCTGATTTCTCACTTTCCCTGTGTTACCCCCAAGACTCCCCTCCACCCTGTGTGAAGGGGCTGCACACACTGTGCTGGGCCATTGGGACTATGAACTCTGCATCCAGCAGCAGCCACCAAATGTTTATTGCAGCTGCCAAGAGACTTCATTCAGTGGCTCATTGAATTCAACGGGAAGAGGTGTTAATAGGGTCAGGGGAAGTGATGCTATTAAAAATGACATTGTGTGGCTCTACGCTGTGTTTATGCTCCCTCAATGACTTCCAGACAAACTCACCCAGCTTGGCATCAAAGACGCCTCTTCCGGACTTCAGTTTGAGGCAAATAAGAAATGCAACATGGTCAGTTAGTTACTCCTCTCTTCCTGCTGCCTCTTAGCCCTTGGGATGGTTGTCAGGTGGTTCAGGATCGCCTTGGCCCCCGTGGGATTTCAGTCCCGGTGTCCGCACATGAGAGTAATAGCAGGGTCAGGTGTGGCACAACTGCCGGATGGCTGGCCTCAGCCTCCAGCAATGGTTAGGGTCTGCACAGCTCTGCAATCTTAAGATTCCAAGGGTTGGGTATTGGCGCAAGAAGGGACCAGGACTCCGTGTTCTGTTTTGCTTTCTCAACAAGATGCGGGGAAATCAGCCAAAGGTTCTGGGAGCTCTGAATGGTGCGGGATGGTTGTTACTGATGATCTGATTGGCTTTGCAGAGATTGAGAACTCGAATTCTCCATAACAGTTAATGCTCGGAGAATAAAAGTTCAGTTCCAAAAGGCCTTGGGGGTCTTGGGAAGAGAGAGATGGTGTAATCATAGAAACGTCTGAGGCCACAGTGCTCTCCTTCCCTCCCCCCACTAAGGGAGAAAACAGAGAATTCTCTAAACCACCCATTCTCAAAGGGATGGGGTGTGGGGGGAGATACCTGCTCCCAGCTTTCACCAAGGAGGCAAAAATCGGTTCTGGGGCTGGGGGGAGGCATGCTCTATTTATATATAAAGCACAGGTATACACACACTACGTAAAGTGTATCTGATTTATTAGGAAGGTGATTTGGAGAAGTGTCTAAAAATTCCCCTTAGGTGAGTGGTAATGAAGAAAAGGTTGAAAAAACACTGCTGCAAATTAAGGTTTATTATGGTGAAAATGACTGAGTCCTGAAAGGTAGATAAAGTCTGCACTCACTCCTGACCTGCAGAGGTCCCTGCTCTGCAAAGAGAGCTGCCCACGGCTAGGGCAGGACAATGAGCTTTAGGACTTGGTTGCTGGGAACTCCCTGCTTCAATCATCTATATTAGAAATTTGAAAGCAAATCCATGGTGCAGTCTCCTATGTCCCCTCTCATATTGTATGCCCCCACCTCTCACAGGGAATTGGGGTACGTGCTGTTTCACAGGGGTTCCCAGTTCTCTTTAGTTCAGCATGCTGGAGAGAGATAGTCCTTCCTGCCTTCTCTTCTTTTTAATTTAAATTTTATTTATTTATTTAACATTTTCAATTACAGTTGACATACAGTATTATGTTAGTTTCAGGTGGACAGCATAGTGATTAGACATTTATATAACTGGCAAAGTGATCACCCCAATAAGTCTAGTTCCTATCTGACACTGTACATAGTTCTTAAATATTATTTTTTTTCTTAAATATTATTGACTCTCTTCCCTCTGCTGTACTTTACTTTAAATGAGGAAGGAGAAATAGTTAGGATTCAGGAGGGACTAGCACCACAGTCCCTTGTTTTCCTTAAGCTCTATAATGAGGGCCACTAGAAAGGTACTGGGCTGCCACCTTTCACAAGAGGGCAGGAAGAAGCTTGGGGACATTTGCTGCCACATCATGTGATGACCTTACCTGACCATGCCTGGCCACAGTTCAGGGCTCCTGGGGAAGACAGCCCTCCCGGCTTTCCCGTGGGGAGGAACGAAGAACTCAGACCTAGGAGGGAGGGTCCCCCCAAGCCGAGGCAGACCAGCCCCCTTCTGTCCCTCCCTTGGAAGAGCAAGCACACTGGATTCATCTGAGCGTTGGTGTCTGTCTGTGGTTCTCTTTTCCTTCCTATTCTTTTCTTTCTCCTTGGTCTCTTCATTGGGACTTGGCCGGGCCATGTGCAAACCCAAACCATTCAACAGTGCTGGAGAGTAGATAGTATTTACCTCAATAATGGTAGTCTCTTTTCAATTCTTTCTAACCCTCAATTCAGATGACGGGTCTAAGCCGACACCCACGATGGAGACGCAGCCAGTGTTCGACGGGGACGGTAAGCTCTGGCATGCTTCCCCACGCGCTTTCCCCGCCCGGTTTCTGATCTGGGGAAGGTAGGTCTTCCCTTCGGATGTTTGTTTAAGCTTTATTGTTATTATTTTTTCTTTTTTAATTTTAATTTTTTTCCTAGTTTAAGCTGGGTTGTTTTAACCTTTAAAGAAAAATGCAAACCCTCCCAGGAACTGGTACACTCGCCACTTCTGGAAAGGCCCTCTGTTCTCGCCAGGCTTCCTTCCTGCCTGGCCGCTGATGGCCAACAATAACACAGCCTGGACTCACCCTCCGAGCTGCCAAGACCAAGGAGCCATGGCCGAGAAAGACAGTCAGGCCTCGTCCCGCAGTAAATGAACCAGCGCTTAGGAGCTCCGGCCGGTGCCCAGCCTCGTGCGAGGCCTGTGGGGGACGAAGGAGAAAGAGACATGATGAAGCCTCACTCTAAAGACAGCGACAAGCGCTGGAGAGCTTTATGTGTTAAATTATGCGGCCTTGGTTGTTATTGTAGAAACTTATGGAAGGAAGAGATCGCAATGGTCTGGGGGAGATTCTGTGAGAGATGGGTGGGATTTGAGCTGGACCTTGAAAATGGGAGGAAGAATTAGGGCATTCCAGGTGGGGCGCTGGCATGGCCAAGGGAGGGAATATTATGGGAATGGGGTATAGTAAGGAAAGTAGCATGGAAGAGACAGGTTAGCGGAGCTGGTTTGGTTAAGTTGTAGGGACCGTGAGAGTTGAGTCAAGACATATGGGAGAGGAGAAATTCTAGGTCAAGAGAAATAGTAGTGGCTGGTGGCAAAATAGGGGTTGGATGTCCCTGGAGGTATAAGGAGTGTTCAGGAGGAGCTTGGGGTGCAGAAGGATGGCCTCGATTTGAGTTTGAGGTGCTCAGGGCCTATATTCTTCAGATGCTTTATTAAATACTCCAGGTTCTCAGGAGGAGCAGGATGCTAGGCACAGAGCCAAGTCTGACCACAAGGGTCAGCTCTTGGTGCAATGTACAGCAACCTCTTAGCTGCTTTTAGCCAAGTGTACACAGGCTGGATCGTGAGCCTGGACAGTGAGACAGAGGAATGAAAGAAATCCTGCCACTGTTTGGTACTGTGGCTAGGAGTGTCCCCTAGCATAGGCTCAGCTCTAGATAGAAGAACTGAAATGTGAGCTGTCCTTTGTAACTGATCACTTAGTGGGACACGTGTGTTCATGCCCAGAAGTTCCAATGCTTCTGTGATCCACAAAGGTCCTTCATCATTGGCAAGTTTGGGACCCTGGGGGACTGGGTCAGGAATGGAGACCATACCAGCTGAGAAACCTCCCGAATACCTGCACTGAAGATCTTCTCACTTGACAGTGTGTTCAGGGTCATCTGTCCACTGGGTTACCCAAGCCCTAGGGGGCCTAGAAGCACCCCTGTGCTCTCTGGAAAGAGGTCAGCCTCTGTTCAACGAGGATCCATTGGGTAGGGTGGAGAAATGCACATCAGCCTTTTACTCTCATTCCCACGTGCAGCAGAGCCTCAGCACCAAAAATCCATCGTGGCCCAGCCGTTTCCTCCAAAATGAGCTTTGTGGTTTGTTTGGCGTTTATTTGTTGATTTATCCCCTTTAAGTTCTTCCAGGGAAGCCGCTGAGAGAGACTTGGCTTGGCCCAGGTTCCTCACCTCCTGGGATAATATTTTTATTCCTGGATGGAGTGGCTCAGTGCTTCTGGACTCTGACCACTCTGCCTCCGGAACAGGAGACCCTGCTTGGCAACTATAAGCTGACAGGGAAAGGAGCTTCCACAGTGAGGAAGGGAGAGGTTTGGGGACAAAGTAGAAATGAGACATATAGTCAAGCCTCGATGCCTCAGGCTTAAAAAAAAAATCTATTAAAAAGTCCGGGGGGTTATACTTCAATTACATGGTCTCTTTGCCCAGGCTTTATATTTTCTCTCCTTTTTTTTTTTCTTGTTAGAAATCACAGCTCCCACTCTATGGATTAAGCACTTGGTAATCAAGGACTCCAAACTGAACAACACCAATATAAGAAATTCAGGTAAATAATCTGCCTTGGATTATATACTTACCTCATCAGTCCGTGGTTGCCCCATAGTTACCCTACTGTGTGGGCTTACGCACCTTATTTAACCTAGTTGGTCTTTAGTTTCTACAGTTGCAGAGTGAGCTTAGATGAGTTAATCCCTTCCAACTTTAATTGTCTTCAGTTATTATCTCAGGGATCATCTTTCATGAGTAGTTGACACTTTCAGCTTAAAAAAAAACTTTTTGGCTCTGTGTTTTAATTTTTTAATTGACTTTCTATATTTGAAAGAATGATTGGGCATAGAGCAGTTAGACTTCAAGCCTCAAGGGCCTTGGTTCTATGTGTTCTTTAAGGCTCTAAATATTTGCTTGTGGTCGAATCTATTCTAGTCTGATCTTCTGATAATGTTGTGTGGGTGGCCAAGTTTTGGTACTGGCTGAACTCCTTTGTAGAAAGGTGATAATTTTTGAAGAATTTGTAGAGTTCATTTACCATCAATGAAGACCAAAGTCAATGAAGTTTATTTACCATTAGTAAAGACCAGATGTCCAGCAACAGGAAATGTATTAACAGACCTAATCCATATCTCTATCTGGGTGAATCATCCTTCTTTCAGACTAAGGCTTTATTGTGAGAAATGCCACTTGGCATAATTTATTCCTGCATTTTGAATTTAGCAGTGTCATCTTTTCCTTGGAATATAAACAAAAGAACACCCCTTTCAATGGGCAGAGTTTTACATGACCGGTAATCCATGAGTGTGCTGTCCTTGGCCCCCTTTAGCTCTGTTCTAAAGGTGCTTGCATGCACAGAATGAGTTAGACTATGAGGTGAATCCATGTAGCATCAGTTGATTCCCCTGTGACTTGGGTGGGCCAGTACCTCAGCATGTGTCTGGTTCCCTATTTGGTAAAAGCTGGAGGAGCTGTGGGATGGTGGGTGGGAAGGAGTCCATGTGAACTCCTGTGGGCTAGATTCTTTGATAAAATAGGGCTGTGGTTAAAGCACAGGCTTTGGAATCAGTGAAACCTGGGGTTCACTTTTTAGCTCCAACACTTAGTGAGTGACCCAGCCAAGTCAAATAATCCCTGAGACCCAGCCAAGTCAAATAATCCACCTGGATCATGATCTCTCCCTTAAAAGACTGTGGTTAAGGGTTAACTGAGTTAACATCTGTATGATACTTGACCAATGCCTGGCTAAATGATAAATAGTAAGAACATGATAATTGTAAGTACATTATTTGTTCGCATCATCATTATTGGGAGGAAAAAATTGGCATATTAATGATGCTGCTTGTGGTGAGAATTCTTTAATCAGGACAGAATTTGTGATTATCACCAGAAGCAAAAGCATCTATTAGGAAGCTTCTGCTTAGGACCTTCTTCATTTCCCCCTCACTGTTGGACAAATATCACAAGTCAAAGAGAAGTGTTTTTGGTGCTTGTGGTACCTGGAAGTGACATCTGCAAGTGGTCTCCCCAATCCCTGAGCCCCTAGCAGGTATACAAAGCCCCAGTACGAGGCTTAATTCTGTGACCAAGTAGCTATGAGGGGTGCTGTCTCTGAAATTATGCAGCACCTTTCTCCTGGAACACTCATTTGACATGTAGCAATTGCTTCATTTTCATCTACAAGTGGCTAATTTTTCTACCTAGATTATAAACTCTGTGAAGACAGGGCTTTCCTGGCTGCCTGATACATCTATTCTAGAATCTAGCTCATGGTGTTTGATTGCTGTGGGGGAAGGATGGAGGAGGGAAGATCATTATCCTCAGTGAAATAGGAGTCATCGGAGTCATCGCTGTCATCAGAGCTCGTCCGCATCTGGTCCTGCAGGGCGTCACATGTGTTATCTCATTGGAGCTTTGCCATAACCCTATGAGATAAGTGCTGTTATTGTCCCCATCTTACAGACTGAGAGTCAGAGGTAGAGGGGAAGTAACTTGTCCTGAGTCACAGCTAGGAAGTAGTGGGGCTGGAGAAGACCACATGTGCTTGGGAACAGAGTGCTTGTCTTCTTGAGTTGTCTTCTCTGCATGTAGTAAACTACAATGACAAGTTCACCACTGCTGTCTGCTTCCACTAAGTTCTGCTTTCCATTCCTACTTCTATATAGTTTCCAGTTGGATGAGTATGGGGTCTTGTTGAGAAATGATTTCCAGGCAGGTATAATCACCTTCCTTTTGTGAGGGTGACCCAACCACTTTGATTTTCCCCTGCTCGGCGCCAGTTATGGCTGTGAGGTTATGCCTGTAAGGTTAGTGTATAAGACAGGATGTTGGGGGAGAGATAAAAGCAATAGCTATTGTTGATGGAATATCTTTATGTATTGTGCTAGCCACTTTCCAGATCATCTCACTTGGTTTGATGAGAAGTCAGATATACTTTAATGGAACTTGGTGTCTGGGAAGCTGGTTCTGGTGTGGACTGGAACCTCTGGGTCAAGCCCCTGAGACAGCTTCCCATTAGTTTGCCAAAAGATTCTGGCTTCCAGGGAGCTTTGGCCCAATGTCTGTGGGGGATGGAGTGGGACTCTGAGAACCCACTTGGTGAGAGCTCGCCTCAGTTCTCTGTCTCAGAGGTAAAGAGGCCATCCCAGTTTCTTTTACACCCCAAACGTCCGTCTTTCACACTCAGACCCTGTGACGCCAGGTTTGTTTTCTGGCCTGGGGACTGTTGATGTTGGAAAGGTTCCACTGGGCAGCCGAAGTTTTGCAATAACATGACACATATGCCTGCAGACTCAGCCTGTCTCCTTTGCTCCTCCCGGAGGTTTTGGTCCTTGTTTTTAAGGCTTTGTCATGTGTTCTCCATGGTCAGTGTTGCCTTTTGAGTACTTGGCAGGTTCAGCGTTGACAGGTTTGCCTTGTTGGACTTTTCTCTGATTCTCACACCAGGAGTTCTTGCATTTAGGAAGCCCACGTACCTGGCCAGCTGACACCTAGAGCTCAAGAGTGGGCATCTTCTCATGCATGAGTGTTGGCCAAAGACTGTTCTGCTTTTATAAGAAAATATGAACTCTTGCTGAGTTTTTTGTTTCGGGAGCTAGAAACCAAGGAATTTCTTAATATAACTAGAATTAAAACAATTTTTTAAAGTCATCTACATTTTACAGAAGAGCATAGAGAGATTAAAGAAATGACAAAAACCAGGCTTTATCTCATCCTTCATCCCATATCCCACGGCTTCTAATTTTACTGTTTGTGGACACTTGCCTGCAGCTATGATTTATAAAAGTCTTTTCTTTCTTTCGTCTTCTTTTTTTTCTATATGACAAAAGTGAGTGCTTTCTTCTCTGAGAAAATGCTCTCTCTGGAAATAGGGTCCTTTGAGCCTTAACTCTTTTGTGCAGGACACCGGCCCCTTCCCTCGGCCCCAGGTCTCAGTGGCTGACTCCTGTGTAGCCTCTGGTGGGCTTATTTAACTGCCCTTTCCCCTCCATGTCTCTCTTTCCTTTATCTCCATCTTTTCTAGTTAACTTCTTTCATGATCTAACCTGGGTCTTCAAGAAGGCCCTTGACCCTCGCCCTCTGGGTTAAATCTAAAAAGGCCTGTCTTTCCTTCCTTGCCTCTTTGCCCAGCAGCAGCATGTGGTAACCGTCCCCAGAGACAGCCATCAGTGGAGACGCAGGTGGAAATGCATTTCTTTTAAGGTGTGCCAGAAAACAGCCCCCTGTCTCTTCCTACGTGAGTGAGTTTACCTACGTTCCCATCCACATCATAGGACAGCTGTCCGCAGCACCTTGCCCTTACCTGCCGGGTTGGAGCATTAGTGTTCCCTTAGGCCTGCTGTTTTGGACTGTTCCTCCCGCACCTGGGAAGTTCCTGCCTGGAGAGTTGCTGCTATGATTGCAATTTGGGGTTCCTGAGGCAATTGCACCTCCTGGCTGATTTCCCCCACCCCCAAACCAGCACTCTTGGCCTGCCCAGAAACCACAGGGTGATGTAATGACCTGAGGCCTGGAAAAACAAACAACTCTTAGGGAAACCAGCGGTAGCCGTTGTAAGCAAATACGGCACAGCCACCTGGAACCTAGCACATGACGTGACTGGGAGGAAGTGTGAGTAATCCACTAACGTTAGCAGCCGAGGACGGGTCTGGGCTTGTGTACATTTAAAATATCTATATAAAAACAAACCCTTGATGTTTACTCTTATAAATGGCCTTCTGGGTGTCTGCCCATCTATCTCATGCAGGTGTCTTGGTCAGTCGCAGCCAATAGATCAGAGCTGGAACGGGTGATCGTCCCTACAGCTTTCTCTGTGGCAACAAAGGCCTTTCTCAAGATTTCCCTGTGCAGAGAGGAGCCGTAAACATATTTGGAGGCCCCAGAGAGCCTAGCCCCACAGTCCATTTTTACCTTGTTTCAAAATTAGCTTCTCTGGCTGCCTCGGGCCTTCACCCCACGTTGTTTGCATGAAACACAGAGGTGTAGTGGTGTGGGGTGTGGGGTTATGATCGGGCCTCTGGAACTTGCTCAATCAGCAAAGGTGTGTTTTTTCTATAGGTGAGTTTGTATGCTTTCTGGTGTTGATAGCAAACCCTGTGTCCCTGTGGTTTTCTTTTGGCCTCTGTTGATAAAACGGAAACCAAAGGTCCTGCCGAGGCATTGTAATTGACTCCTTCCAACTTGCTATAAGTCAACTGTGGTCTGTGCTTTGATCCCAGGTCCTCATTCTGTGTTTATTTGCAAAATGGCTCTGGAAGTAGGCAGGGTATAGATCTTATACACACACTCACACATGCAGCATTAGTGTTTGGGGGGATGAAGAGTGAAGTCATGATACTTTATTTTGACAAATTAAAAAATCTCTCTCCCATCTCCCCCTTTGGCCTAGGCCTCCTGCTTCCTTCTCACCTGAATTTTTATTTACTAGCTCTTGTCCTTAAAGGACGGAGCTTCTCAGGTCAAGGTCAATGAGTTACCAAGAAAAGCTAGAAAGAAGACAGCTTGGCACTTCTCATTGCAAAACCACTGTGAGGCATTTCATTTTCTTTTTGGTCGGAG